AATTTGGTCATGACCATATTTAAGCCGGCCAAACAAGGATAGAAATTCAGCTGGTTCAGCCAATCTACTTCTGTACAAGCAGCTTATTGCTCTGGAAAAAGATGGTGTGGTTGTTTTTAAAAAGCATTATATGACAATACTTGAACAAAAATGAGCTGCATGGTTGAGTTGCTAGAAAGAAGTCTTTAATGTGCCAATGTTACAAAAAAGCCCCCTGAGCCCTCTCCACTATGTCATGGTGTTTTCGATCATACTTTAACCAGGCTTTTTGTGGCATTGGTGCAGTAAAAGCTTCTTTCTGACAACTTGACCAAGCAGCTAATTTTTTGTTGAAATAGTGTTGTACTGTGCTCCTTAAAAAACAAACTTCTTTTTCCAGAGCAGCCTATATTCCTCCTGAGGTTACTTGTGGGTTTTTCCTGTACTAATGATCAAGACCTGGGACTCCTTGTTCCTAGTCACCTGATCTCTGTGATAGCCTCTGTTTGGCTCTCACAGTGATTAGTCACTGTGCAGTCCATCCCCATGTTTTCTTTGTCCTCTGAATGGGCAGATAAATAAATTGTATACAATTTGAAAAAAACTAAATTGTTTTTGGGCCCTACTATGGTTGCAAACAGCAACTAACATACACATTTGTTGTATCACTGTGATCATCAGGAGCAGGAGAATTGTTTTGGGGGGGTTGTTCCTTGGTGGTAAGTCATGGCAATAGCAAGAATTATACAGCTAAATTTGAAAAAATTTATAATTTTTACTAATTTGGGCCAGTTTTCCTTTGATAATTAAAAAAAAAATCAGGAGATATCCATTATCATTTGCCACCAAATGAAAGCCCAATTTGTCTCAGAAAAAAGAAAACAAGGTATAATCAAACACAAAATGAATCCCGCTCACCGCGGAAACCTCCGCTACTATCAGGGAGCGCCCTGACGTCACGACCATCCAGGAGCTCCGTGAGGACGTCATTGGTGACGAAACGCGTAGGGCGGAGCCAGTTTTCCTTTGATAATAAAAAAAATCAAGAGATATCCATTATCATTTGTCACCAAATGAGAGCCCAATTTGTCTCAGAAAAAAGAGAACAAGGTATAATCAACTTAGATGCACTATACAAAGTAGTTGTGATAATATGTATAGTTTTACTAACAAATGTCAAAGTTGTAAAATTGTGTTCAGGCATTAATATTTGTTTTACTCTCTGTCACAAGAGTTAACCAAGGAGACAGGAGGGGAATAAAAATAAGTTCAAGATTAGAGGAATAAGGGGTGATAAGAAGGGGAGAGCATAGGTGTACAGGTGCAAGCCTAAGGCTCCTGCTATTAGAATTGAGTCAGAAATGGTTATGGTTATCATTTGTGATCCAAGAAGAGTTATTAACCACATGCCGCCCAGCCACTGTATAAATACGGCGGCAGGGCAGCACGGCTGGACAAAAGTACGTTTTAAAAACGTGTTTTGTAAACAGGTAGGGGGCGTGTGCGAGGCGCGCTGCCGCCCTACCTGTCCCGCCGATCACAGCCGCGGATGTCAGTCGCCGGTTCGTTACCAGCTATGTCCCGGCGATTGGCGGCAATCGCTGACAGAGAGCAGGGCTGCAGTAGCTGTGCTTTCTGTCAGCTCCCTGACAGCTCCAGGACACTCTGATCGGGACAGAAGAGTTTCTCTCTCCCGATCAGCCTTGTCCCCATCCAGCACACCCCCCCGCCCCCTAGTAAAACACTCCCCTCACACAGATAACCCTTCCCTGAATAATAAACTTAAACCCCTTCCTCCCCATTGTCATTAGTACAGTGTCAGTGGTTTTTTTTTTTGCACTGATCACTGTATTGGTGTCACTGGGGATGTCAGTAAGTCGCTGATCGCTGCCATAAGTCCCTGATCGCTGCCATAAGTCGCTGATTTCTGCCATAAGTCGCCGATCGCCGCCATTATTAGTATAAAAAAAAACTAAAAATCCCAGTATCTTTCCCGCCATTTGTAAACGCTATAACTTTCACGTAAACCAATTAATTTACACGTATTGGTTTTTTTTTTTTTTAGCAAAGACGTGTCGCAGAATGCATTTTGGCAGAAATATATGACTAAATTTGATTTTTAATTTTTTTTTTACTGGACATGTTTTATAGCAAAAAGTCCAAAATATTGTTTTTTTTTCCTCAAAATTGTCAGCCTTTTTTTTACAGCGCAAAAAAATAAAAACCGCACAGGCGATCAAATACCACTGAAAGAAAGCTCAATTTGTGGGGAAAAAAAGGATGTAAATTTCATTTATGTACCGTATTGCATGACCGCGCAATTGTCCGTTAAACTAGCGCAGCGCTGCTGTATAGCAAGAAAAATGGCGTAAATTGCAGTATCTATACCATAGTTTGTAGACGCTATAACTTCACACAAAGCAATCAATATACACTTATTGGGATTTTTTTTTACCAAAAACATGGAGCAGAATACATTTTGGCCTAAATTTATAACTAACTTTGAGTTTACTATATATTTTTTATAGCTGAAAGTAAAAAATATTGTTTTTCTTCAAAATTTTTGGCATTTTTTTGTTTATAGTGTGAAAAATAAAAAGCGCACAGGTGATCAAATACCACCGAAAGAAAGCTCTATTTGTGTGAAAAAAAGGACGTAAATTTAGTTTGGGTGCAGCATTGCATAACCGCGCAATTATCAGTTGAATTAGTGCATTAGTGAACTGAGTAGCAAAAAGAGGCCTGGTCAATAAGGGGGGTAAATCCTCAGGGGGGCAAGTGGTTAAACCCCAAAGCAGCTTAGCAATTCTTAAATGTGATGGCTGCATTAATTTGTTTTCTTAGGCAGTAGTTCTTCTATTTTCTTTTACAAAGAGCTTTATTGAGTATGAAGCAAAGATAAACAAACATTCGGAACATAAAATCAATGACCAACAATTGTAAATTGTATTGTGTGGGGGTCAGCTAGTTCAAAGCAAGCATTGATAAAGTCATATGCCAGAAGGTTTACATAGGTGCCCCATAAGAAAAGATAGGGGAGAGGGTTGAAAGGGTACGATTAACAAACCTTCGTGGGTCAATGATAATATAAACACTAAAGTGTTTTTGTTTTTTTTTTTTGCTACATCAGCAGTATAAAAAACAGGAAAGACATGAGAGGAGGCCTCTCCAAAAAAAAAATGGTACATATTCAAAACCTAGAGTTTACAAAGAAATCTAGATAGATAATACTGCAAGGGTAGCGCACAAAACAGCAAACACAGTTCATAAGATATGTTTAAGGACAGAGTAGATAGGAGGTTAAGCAAAGACAAGCAGTAGAAAGACACGGACAACAACAAACCAAGAAAAAAAAAAGGGGGGGGGGAGGGCTCCGAGGCGATCACAGCAAAATCCATCCTCATATCGACAGAAGGGACTGGTCGAATCTCGATGGTTGAGCTATATCCAACCAAGGACGCCATATCCGAAAAATTTTGTATGGGTATCCAACAGTATGGCCGTCAGTTTTTCATTAACCATTATAAAGTTCATCCGATTTTTGACATAGTTCTTCTATTTTCATATGGTGATCTAGTTGGTAACTCTTTTTCAGAAGTTCAGAATTGTTTTTCAGAAGTTCAAGCTCTCCAGCAGAATGTATCAGTTTACATGGATGAGAGAATCCATTTACCATTGGCAGGGGTGATTAAAATGCTCAGCTTTTATTTATTCATGTAAAAACTTGATCCCAAAAGGAAAAAAAAAAAAAGTTTGCTGTAACTGATAATAAAGTGTTAATTAAGTTGTTATTGTATTCAAATTTACTAATACATTTAACATTCCCACCTCCCCTCCCCCAGAATGACAATGTTGCTGTCTGCTTTGCCTTGTGCTTATTCCTCCAAGGTTGAGTCTCACTAATGTGTTACTGGCCAGATAACCAGGGTTTAATACCACTTTATGTTATGTGATATTTAGTCAAACAGCTGTGTAAAATCTTTCCCAATGCATTGTATGCTTTATTTTAGGTTTTGTTATAGAAATAGTGTGTTTTGTGGCCTCTGCAAAATTCTTTATTACTGGTATAAATACAAAGCTTAACATACACAACTCTTAAAAGCTTCAAAAAGCAATGGCGCCCTTGAAACAAGTTACCCTTTAATACTTTTTCTGCCAGAGCTGTTTTTGCATTCATTGCACACGTTTAAAAAATTACTTTATGTCTGAAGATTATGTACTGTACATTTGAATTCACTGAGCTCCTGAGAGCGACCTATTCTTTCACAAATCTTTGTAGAAGCAGTCTGCATGCCTAGGGGCTTGATTTTATACATCTGTGGCCATGGAGGGGATTGGAACACCTGAATCCAGTGATTTGGAGGGCTGGCCTAATACTTTTGGCAATATAGTGTATTTTCTGAATGCAGACACCTTGGAGAATAACATAGTTCCTGCTGTAATTGCTGAAGGTAGTCCTTAAATTAAGTTTACTTCTGTGTCTATTAGATAAAAATACAATTGGTTTACTACTTGACAAAAGTCTTAAAAGTAGCCATCATTTTTTGCAGAGCTCTCTTGATCTCATGGTTTCTCAGACTATATATGATAGGATTCATCAATGGAGGCACCACAGTGTACAAAAGAGATTTATATTTGTTCATGTTGGTTGAACTCTCATCAGATGGGCCTGCATACACAGCAATTATTGTTCCATAATAAGTACAAACCAAGGCCAAATGTGAACTACAAGTGGAGAAGGCTTTTCTTTGGTCATAAATGGAAGATATCTGCAAAATAGTGACTAGAATACAGATATATGTTATAATAATGAACACAAATGGAAAATATAATGTGACAATAAAAATAACAAAGTCTTGGAGCATCAAAGCAGAAGTGTCGGAGGTGGACAATTTAACCAGAGGTCCAAAATCACAGAAATAGTGGTCTATAAAACTAAGACCACAATACTCAAATTGAAATTGCACAATCATTTCGCTTGACATTAAAATGATAACCAAGACCCATAACCCGATGATCAACTGGGAAAAAATATGGGAGTTCATAAGGGATGAATAGCGTAAGGGATTACAAATAGCCAAATACCGATCGTAGGACATGACCGCAATAATAAAACTTTGTGAACAGCTGCAAGTACCTATAAAATAAAGTTGAGTGATGCAACCAGCCAGTGATACTCTTCCTTCATCTTTAATAATGACCTCCAGAGTCATGGGGACCACACACGTGGTCAGTAGGACATCAGATGTAGCCAAGTGCTTGAGAAGGAAGAACATCGGAATTTTTAGCTGGTCAACAGTTGCCACTAATGTTATTATTAATAAATTTCCACTTAGTATCATTATGTATGCCAGAAGAAACACCATAAACAGCAGAATCCTAAATTTATAAAGACCTTGAAACCCAAGTAGTTTAATTTGTGTGACCTGAGTCTGGTTGATCTCACACATTCTTCAATTTGAAAAATATTTAAAGACACCAACAATATTTTCTTTTTTTGTTTTTTTTTAAAGTCCCAAAATAGAATATTACTACAGTATTTTCAAATGTTTCTAAATGCACACTCTCCTATTATTTGGCAAAGTATTAAAAGATAAAGGTAATGGGTTTTCCCCCTGAAAAATAGGTAACAAAAATAACAATAAATACAAAGATTCTTAGGATAATTTGACTTAAAACAAAACACAGAATAATTAAGCCTCTTGACCTTACTTAATAAAAAAAAAAAAAAAGAAAGAAAATAAATAATTATAGTTTTAAACTAATAAAATACTGACTTTCAAAATAACAAAAAAAAGTTTTAAATTTAAACCAGAGGAAAAAATAAACCTGAATTTTTTTTTAACTGTTGATAATAACACTGGTAAACATATCTGATATAAATGTTTTTCAATGTGTGACATAATGTTAGACCAAACTTCAGGTGTTATACACATGGGTATGGCTTAAAGATAAACGTAATACCCAACTATTATAGTGGTAGAGTAGTGAGGGGTGAAACACTCGTCAGATCTTTGCCCACACTGGGGCGGTCACCTTTTCTATTTGTGCTGGTGAGTAAAATTGATGGGAAAGTTCAAAATGTTGAGTTGCCACCAGAACAGGAATAGAGGAGAAATCATCCACTGGGGGACACTTGTTCAGGTGACAACTAAAAGAAGTTTTCCTTAATATATAGTGTGGCAGTACGGTATCCTGCCACGGTGGAAATCATGATAGAGACCCAGGATTCTCAACCATACAGGTTTTTTAGGGGCTCCAGGCAGATCTCATAATGCAGAGGAAACTGGTTTATCAGTTTCCTCTTTGGTTTGTAAAGCCTGTTTTGGGACCTGTAGCCTGGAGATTTCTAAGAGATTTGGGAGGGATGAAATCTCCAATCCTGGGCCCATATTTTGGGAGCAGCCAGTGCGCTGATTGCACAGGTGTGTGCAGGCCTTTTTGTGGAGGCCAGGCCATGATTCTGAGCTCCACCCCGGCAAACGGAGTCAGGAGGGCTCCACCCCGGCAGATAGGAGTCAGGAGGGCTCCACCAAGGAGAGGTGGAAGCCAAAAGCAGCAAGGAGCTGTTTGAGAATAGCTGTGTGCTAAAACAACCCTGTGGAAGAAGTCTGTAGGAAACAGATATAGAGCGGTATAGCTGAAAGAGCCAGAAGGCTGAATTGTTTTGCTTGATGGTGGATACCCCTGCGTGGGAAGCATTTGTGTTATTTGAACTTTCTTTTAAATAAAATTGGGCAAAAAGGCCCTTAAAGAAGCGAGTTGCTGTGTGCTTTAACAAGAAGAGCTCTACCACTTGAAGCGAGTTCCCACAATAGATATTTTCTCTAACTTACTGTTGTGTTTATACAGGAATTAAAATTTCTTGAATGTGAGACAGCATAAAAACCTGACTGTGGTTTTACCATTCAGTACTCTATTGAAAATGGAAAAAAAAATGGCTTTTGATATACTTCAGTCTTGGCTGGATAGAAAAAGTCTATTCCAGACAGCAGAGAGTTTTGGGACAAGCCTTGGCTGTAAGATTATAAGGCAGGAGAGGAGTAAGGTGTTTTCAGAGCAGAGATTGTGCTGGAAGTATTACGTGGAATAACTAAGTTTTTGGGAGGCTTTGTAGGCTAGATGCTTATCATAGTCACACTAAAGCTGGCCATAGACAATGTTATTTTCTTTCCTGCAGGAAAGAAGATAGCTCAATTCTCCCATCAACACAGTCAATGCTAATAGGGGAATGCCTCCCGTGGAGTTATTGTGTTCTCCAAGAAGGGGCCAGGGTGGGGAGCCATTCCTGCCATGAGAACACAATGATTATCGCCAGTAATTATAGTCGCTGGAAATATATAACAATGAAAAGTTTGCACCGCAGGCAAAAGGAAAATAAATCAAAGATAAGGAAACACAGAGCTTCCTGAAGATCTTCAGTTACCGACTAAACTAGTTGAGGCAGTGTTCCCCGGCCAGCTGATACATCACATTCCATCCCTGGAGCGCAAGCCAGCTTCTGGTCATGGGGCATTAACCATAAGCGCTGTATGTACCTAGTGCTGGTCCTTAGGCACATATACATGTGAGTGCAGTGTAATTGTTAGGTTTTATATGTTTTAATAAAGTCAGCTGCTTTGTGCAATAAACCTTTTTCCCTGCTTTTTGAGTGGAGGTGTATTGCATTGGAAAGAATCGCATCCTGGTACTTGTAAATGGTCAAGTTGGTGACAAGACATGCAGTGGGTCCAACCAAAAAAAACACAGTAAGACCTATCTAGTAATGGAAGGTCCATCCATTGTGATCAGTGCAAACCCATGTGAGGTCACCTGGAGCACCTGAAAGTGATCACCTGTTTATCTGTTACTAATGGCACCAGTACCTGCTCACCTATCTTTTGGTTTTAAGCAACTATTATTGGAATGGGACTTATCGATACATCGGACATTAGTTGTATTTTCTGGTGCTGTTTATTTACTTATTGCACTTTTACATGTGGAAACTCTATAGTAACCTTGATTCACATTATTGGCATATGCTCATTCATAGGAGTAATTGGTAAGAATTGTATGAAAAATCCAACAGGCTGGTTGTACAGAGGTTGTATGATTGCATAGGGTGCAATCGGCCTGCCCATAGATGGTTCGAATCTCGGCAGGTCCCTGCTGGACCAGCTAAGATCTAAATCATCTATGGCCAGCTTATGGCCACCACTAGTAATCAAATTATTCTGCTAGTGCTCTGTAGTCTATATTCAGATCCCTAGATTTTTTTTTTAGAATTCTTGAGTTACATAACAA